AACTATCTGAGCCACCCAGGTACCCCATAGGTGATTAATTAAATCTTTGCTATATGTTTGCTTTTACCGGTGAAATTTTTTCCTTTCATAATTTTCTCACTTGTAATTGTGGCCTTTTCTTTCCACTTAAAAAAGTCCCACTAACATTTCTAGTAAGGCTGGTTTAGTGGGGATGAATTGCTTTAACTCAGTTTGTCTGGGAAACTATCTCTCTTTCAATTCTGAATGATTGAGTATTCTTGGGTAGAGTATTCTTAGTCATAGGTATTTTTCTATTTAGCACTTCGAATATATCATGCTGTTTTCTTCTGGCCAGCAAAATTTCTGCTGAAAAGCCAGCTGATAGCCTTTTGGGATTTTCCCTTGTATGTCAGTTTTCTTTTCTTTTTCTGCTTTTAATATTCTCTGTTATTACATTTTGCCATTTTAACTATTATGTGGACTTTTTTTTTAAGATTATATTTATTTATTTGAGAGAGAGAGAGGGAGAGCATGAGCAAGGGGCGGAGGGGTAGAAGGAGAAGCAGACTCCCTACTGAGGAGGGGGCCCGATGTGGGACTCAATCCCAGGACTCCAGGATCATGACCTGAGCCGAAGGCAGATGCTTAACCTGAGCCACCCAGGCGTCCCTCCTTCTGAAGTTTTAATGTGGATTTCTTGTATACAACATATAGCTGAGTCTGGTATTTTGATCCATTCTGACAGTCTTCGTGTTTTAATTGGTGCATTTAGACCACTGACACCTGAAGTGATTATGGATACGGTTTTTATCAATATCTATCATATTTGTTATTGTTTTCTATATCTTGCCCTTGTTCTTTGTTCCTTTTTTATCTTTCATTCACTCTTACTCTCTCTTTTGTGGTTTTGAGAATTTGATGTGATTCTGTTTTCATTGCATTCTTAACATATCAGTTATACTTCTTTCTTATTGGCTGCCCTAAAGTTTGCAATATACTTAATACAACTAATCCAAGTTCACTTTCAAATAACTATACATCTTTGTGTACAGTGAGAGTATCTTAAAATAACAAAATAATTTTAATTCCTTCCTCCTGTCTCTTGTATTATTGCTCCCATTTATTTCACTTACACATTAGCATACATAATCAAATACATGGTTGCCATTATTATTATTATTTTTAAAGATTTTATTTATTTGACAGAGAGAGACACGAGAGAGGGGAACACAAGCAGGGGGAGTGGGAGAGGGAGAAGCAGGCTTCCTGCTGAGCAGGGAGCCCGACGCGGGGCTCGATCCCAGGACCCTGAGATCATGACCTGAGCTGAAGTCAGATGCTTAACGACTGAGCCACCCAGGCGCCCCCTCCATTATTATTTTGAACAAACAAAAGATCAATTAAGAATATAGATCAATTAAGAATATAAAAATATGTTTTTATTTTACCTTCACTTATTCCTTTTTTTGATACTCTTACTTTCTTTGTACAGATCCATGTTTCTGACCTATATTATTTTCCTTCTCTCTAAGAAGTTCTTCTAACATTGCTTATAAGTCAGTTTCTACTGGCATCAAATTCCCTCAATTTTTGTTTTTCCAGAGAAGTCCCTATTTCTTCTTCACCTTTGATGGTTAATTTTGCAGGGTACAGAATTAGGGTGATAGTTTTTTTCTCTCAACACTTTAAATATTTCATTCCATTCTCTTCTTGTTTCTGTGGTTTTAGAGAAGTCTGATGTAATTCTTATCTTTGCTTCTCTGAGGAGGTGTTTTCCCCCCCTCTGGCTTTTTAGAATTTTTTTAAATTATTTATTTTTAAAATTTTTAAAAGTTTTTATATACATTCTAGTTAACATACCATGTAATATTAGTTTCAGGTGTACAATATAGTGATTCAACACTTCCATAGGATTTTTCTTTATCTTTGATATTCTGTAGTTTGAATATGATATGTCTAGATGTAGTTTTCTTTGGCATTTATCCTGCTTGGTGTTCTGTGAGCTTTTTGAATCTGTGGTTTGGTATCTGTATTAATTTGGAGGAAATTCTCAAATGTTATTGTTTCAGTATTTTTTGTGTTCTGTTCTCTTTTTATTCTTCTTCTGCTGTTCCCATTATGCATATGTTACACCTTTTGTAGCTGCTCCACATTTCTTGGATATTCTGTTCATTCCCCCCTCCTTCCCTACCTCCCACGTTCTTTTCCTCTTTTTAGTTTTGGAGGCTTCTATTGAGATACCCTCATGCTCAGATTTTTTACTCAGCTGTGTCCAGTCTAATAATGAGCTTACTAAAGACATTCTTCATTTCTGTTACAGCATTTTCATCTGATGTTTCTTTTTGGTTCTTAGAATTTCTGTCTCTCTGCTTACATAGCTCATCTCTTCTTTTTTTTTTTTTTTAAAGATTTTATTTATTTATTTGAGAGAGAAAGAGAGAATGAGAGATAGAGAGCACGAGTGGGAAGAGGGTCAGAGGGAGAAGCAGACTCCCTGTCGAGCAGGGAGCCCGATGTGGGACTCGATCCCGGGACTCCAGGATCATGACCTGAGCCGAAGGCAGTTGTTTAACCAACTGAGCCACCCAGGCGCCCTAGCTCATCTCTTCTTGCATGCTGTCTACTTTGTTCTTTACAGCCCTTAACATAGTAATCGTTTTAAATTTCTGGTCTGAGAATTCCAACATCCCTGCTACATCTGCGTCTGGTTCTGATGCCTGCTTTATCTCTTCAAACTGGGGGATGGTGGGATGTTGTTTGTTTTTTAGTGTGCTTGGTAATTTTTTCTTGTTAGCTGGATGTGATGTATTGAGTAAAAGGAACTGCTGTAATTAGACCTTTAGTAATGTGGTGGTATGGCGTGGTGAAGGGGAAGCATTCTGTAGTCCTATAATTTTGTCTCATTCTTTTAGTGAGTCTTTGCCTCTAGACTTTCAACTTACAGGGCTTCTCAGCTCTTCTAATTATTTCCCTTAAAGTGGAACAGGATGGCTAGAGTGGGTATTTTCCCTTTCCCTAACCAGGCTCTGATTAAAACCATAGCAGGTTAGGCTCTGGTTACATAGTTTTTCCTGAGGGTAGACTTTGTTAAAAAGAACAGAATGCTTTGGTATGTTTTGCCCCTCCCCTTGCCAGAAGCACAAGGGGAATTTTCTCAGATAAACCTGGTAGAGTTCCAGAAAGTAAAACTCGCAAGTTTTTCCCTCCTTCCCCGCCATTGACTGGATTACCCTGGAGTTTTTATCTCTCAGATTTTCCACGCTGAGCTTCCAGCAATTCAAGAATCACAGTTCAGGTTTCCCTACCCTGGGATTTGTTCCCACAGAAGTTTTGGCTCCTGGATTTTTGCTTCAGTTAAGTTGTGATCCTCTGTATTTGTCTGTATGCATAATTTTGAGAGTAGTGTCTTAGCCTGTGAAGAGTTGTTGATTTGCAGTTTGTTCAGCTTTTTACTTGTTGTTAGGATGGAATGGTAATTTTGACCTTCTTTCATGCCAGACTGGAAACTGGAAGTCTATTTATTTTTTTAGTCTATTTTGTCTCTGTTGTTTGAGTAATTTCTGTCATTCTTTCAGTTCACTGGTTTTTCTGTCCTCTCCATTCTGCTGTTGAGCCCATCCACTGAGCTTTTTATTTTATTATATTTTTCAATTATAAAATTCCATTTGGTTTTCATTTATATCTCTAATTTGTTGGCTGAAATTTTCTATTTCTTTTCTGAGGTATTCTTTTTTTCCATTTGGTTCAAACATCTTTGTACTTTCTTGTTGAAGCACCTTTGTTATGGTTTCTTTAATATTTTTGTCAGAGGGGCAAAAGGGGGCAGAGGGGCTCAGTCAGTTAAGTGTCTGCCTTTAGCTCAGGTCATGATCTCAGGGTCCTGGGATCAAGTCCTGCATCGGGCTCCCTGCTCAGCGGGGAGCCTGCTTCTCCCTCTCTTCCCCGCTCATGCTCTTTTACTATCTCTGTCCCTCTCAAATAAATACGTAAAATCTTTAAAAAATTAAAAAAAAAATCTTTGTCAGGTAATTCTAAGTTTTCTTTTATCTTGATAATGGCATGTATTTATTTTCTTTTTTAAAAATTAATTTTGAAGTTGAAAACAGAGCTACCCTATGACCCAGAAATTGCACCACTGGGTATTTATCCCAAAGATACAAATGTAGTGATCCAAAGGGGCACATGCACCCCAATGTTTATAGCAGCAATGTCCACAATAGCCAAACTATGGAAAGAGCCTAGATGTCCATCAACAGATGAACGGATAAAGAAGATGTGATACACACATACACACAGGAATATTATGCAGCCATCAAAAAAATGAAATCTTGGCATTTGCAACGACGTGGATGGAACTAGGGGGTATTATGCTAAACGAAATAAGTCAGAGAAAGACGAGTATCATATGATCTCACTGATATGAGGAATTTGAGAAACAAGACAGAGGATCATAGGGGAAGGGAGGGAAAAATGAAACGAGACGAAACCAGAGAGGGACACAAACCATAAGAGACTGTTAATCTCAGGAAACAAACTGAGGGTTGCCAGAGTGGAGGCGGATGGGAGGGATGGGGTGGCTGGGTGATGGACATTGTGGGTATGTACTATGTGAGCGCTGTGAATTGTATAAGACTGATGAATCACAGACCTGTACCCCTGAAACAAATAATATATGTTAATAAAAAATTTTTAAAAAATTAATTTTGAGAACTTGTAATTCATGGTATGATGGATGATTTTCCATTGAAACCTAGATATTATTGTGTAATATCTAAGAGTCTGGATCTTCTTTAAGCCCTCTGTTTTAGCTGGCTTTTTCTGACACCACTCTGGCAAGGGAGATGGGACCCTGCCTTGTTACTGCCTGATATAGGTAGACTTGATCTCCTTGACACCTGATTGGTGGGCTCCTTGCCACTTCTGGGTGAAGATGCAAGTTCCAGTTTCCATGAGGTCTTCCTTGGTCCTGAATTTTGATAATACAACACACTTAAACTTTTTCTTTTTTATTGGACATCTGTGGCCTTCTGTCAATACAGAGAAAGATTGGAGCTGCTGCCCAAAGGCCTGGAAGTCATTTAGTTCCACCTGCTACTTTATTTCTACTATAACAAGAGATTGGACTGAGAGTGAGAGGAACTGCTCAGAAATGAAGGCTCACCCTGCTGGTGATAAACACCAAGGATGAACAGGTACTTTCTTTTTTTTTTTTTTTAAGATTTTATTTATTTATTTATGAGAGACAGAGAGAGAGAGAGAGACAGAGAGAGAGAGAGGCAGAGGGAGAAGCAGGCTCCCAAGGAGCAGAGAGCCCGATGCGGGACTCCATCCCAGGACCCTGAGATCATGACCTGAGCCAAAGGCAGACGCTTAACCATCTGAGCCACCCAGGCGCACCTAACAGGTATTTTCTAATAGATGATGGAGTCAGGAGTCCTGCCTAGTTGTTGTATACCTCTCTTGTCTAAGGAGTTTTTTTTTTTTTTTTAAAGATTTTGTTTATTTATTTGACAAAGAGAGAGCACAAGTAGGCAGAGCTGCAGGCAGAGGGAGAAGGAGAAGCAGGCTCTCTGCTGAGCAGGGAGCCCAATATAGGGCTTGGTCCCAGGGCCCTGGGATCATGACCTGAGCTGAAGGCAGCTGCTTAACCAACTGAGCCACCCAGGTGCCCCCTGTCTAAGGAGGTTTTTCACTGTTTTGGAATATTGGTGGTATGGCAGAAGGCTTTTAATAAAACTGATAAGAAAGGCTGCCTAAGCCTTCACATGCTGCACCTTCTTCCTGTTTCCATAAAACTAATCTCTCCCAAAATAAGTTGGGGGATTTAAAGTATCATATGTGGGGTTTGAGTTGAAGAATGAAAATGTTTTAGGCTGAATATCAGTTTATTATTTCAACCTGTAAATATTTTATAAATTATTAACTATTTCACTGAGAAAGGGGTATTATAGCAATAGAGAAACAAAGTTCAATCATGAAGAGTCAGTCAACAATCAGGAATGAAGTTAAAGAATTTATGAAAGGAAAATGATTTAATCTGCAAAAAATTTTTCATGCATGACTTTGAAGAATACCACCTCTTAGTGAAAGGCGGAAGTGAATCTGAGATGAGAATTCATTATGATCCTGGATAGAAATTGCTTCCATTTGTGTTGAACATTGCTGTATTCTGGATGTTTATGTCTCCCCCAAACTTCATATGGTGAAATCCTAACCCCCAAAGATGATGGTATTTGGAGGTGGGGCCTTTGAGAAGTGCTTAGATACTGAGGGTGGAACCTTGATGAATGGGATTTGTGTTCTTATAAAAGAGACCCCACCCAGCTACCTCGCCCCTTCTACCATGTGAAGACACAGGGAGAAAAAGCTGGCCTTCACCTGACCATGCTAATACCCCAATCTGGAATTTCCAACCTCCAGAACTGTGAGAAAGAAACTTGTTGTTTATAAGCTACCCAGTCTGTGGTATTTTGTTATAGCAGCCTGAGCAGACTAAGCCAAGCATCATGCTCACAAATGATCTCTTTGATCCTGCACTGTTCAGCCAGAGAAGACTTAGGCTTCTGGGCAGGGCCCCCGTGTCGCTCTTCCTGGATCCTTTCCTTTTCTTCTCTTCTCCCTAAGGCTGTAAAGATCTACCTGAATACACTAAAGGCTATAACTCTTTTCTTCCTTTAGGATTTTATCTTCCAGAACCTGGATACATATTCTACTTATTACATAGGCTGTCGAACCCAAAGGGAAAACGAGATTGGAAATGGGTTGATCAAACATCATGCAATGAAAGTGTCACGTGAGTACAGAATTAGATAAAGGAATCCTGAGCCCTGGATCATGCAGGGATTTTAGAGTGTTAAACTATCAGCTCTGAAGATAAAATAGCTTACTCTTCTTTTAACTCTTGGGTTAAATAATTTTATTTATTATCTCATTTAATCATCACAGGAACTCTCTGAAGCACACAGTATTATTTTTCCCACTGTAGAGGTGAGGAAATTGAGTTTAGAGAGTTTAGATAACTCAGCAAAGATTATCCAGCATTGGCAACAAATGATCCTCAAATCCAGCTCTGTTTGACACTGAAGTCTGTACTTTTAATCACTACATTATATATCTCTAAATATAACAAAAATTTATGTCAATTAAGATCATGGCCAATTATTGATTTAATATTTCTCATAAAGCAAAGGAGCTAACTTCTGATAGTTAAAATATCTCATATTTCCGTAGGTCTTTTAAAATTCTTAAATACTTCAGTGCGTTTTAATACAATACCACCTTTGATCCTCCTATCACTGTGTGAAACATATAGGATATGACTCTAGTCTCTATTTTTTAGATATGGAAATCAGGGAAATTTAATTACATATCTAAGATAACTGGGATCTTAGCAGATTTAGGGGTTTTAACTAGTTCTTTGGACTCCAAAAGCAATATATACATAAAAAAAGGAAACAACTATAATGATACTTGGGACTGGGATGAAATCTTTCTTTTCCATCATTTAAGGGAGCTTATGGATTGGCAGTCCCTTGGGAACAGAACATAATGATGGACAAATAGAAGGGCTATCTGTTAGGAGAATGTTTAATGCAATAAGATGACACAATACTGGGTGATGTAAGTTTTTGAGAGAAATGCCAGAGCTTCAGGTGGAGGAGAAATTGCATGAGAATTGGAGAAGGAATGATTTGGGCATATCTGACCTTGACTTCCACACAGTTCAACCCAAGCCCCCTCCCTTGCCCTTTTCAAAGCACTGTTTGAAGAAACAACCTCATCCATTTTTTCCCTTTCAGATTTTGGCACTTGGGTGAACCCAGTAATCTTGATGAGGGTTGTGTTATGCTACATTTTTGTTATCTATCAAGAAAATGGGGCTGGAACAATGTTCCTGGTAATGGACATCGCAAGTCGATTTGCAAGATGATGAAGAGCTACTTATGAATGGGAACATTCTGCATGAACATTTAGTTGAATTGGTATCCACTATTACAGAGATAGCTAACTTGCTCTTTTTATTCATGTGTAAGTCTTGTGTAAGGAATCTTCATAGCATTTTTCAGTAGGCTGTCACCTATTCCATTTATGATAGAATCAGTATACATATTCATTCATTTGTGCCTTCTCCATGTGTAGAAATCATACTGGAGAGCACTTTTGCAGACACATGGAGGAAGCATGAGTATCCTTTCCAAATTTTTGTTAGAGAAGTTAGATATTTTGCTAAGGAGTTAGATATTGATATAATTATATGATGGGGTTCCTCCATCTGTTTGGATTTTTTTTTTCATGAGGTTGGTCAAAAGCGAAATAATCCTGTTACTTTTCATTACTCTCAGACATATTTATTACCTTTAACTGAAGCATATTATGTGACAGTTGGAATGTGATATCAATGGAAGTTAAGTTCCAGCTTTGTCCCAGTAGACTATTTGGGGTTCTTAACATTCTCTGTTCAGTCTTAGACTGTCATTTAACATCAGTGTACAGTCGAAGGGAAATCAGAAATTGAACATTAGAGATTTAGAATTAGAAGTTATTACTAGTGAGTTGACGTAGATTTATAATCCCTAGTTTTTTTCTTTGCTTCAGTTTTATAGTTTTTGTGTGTAGATTGCCACTCAGAATGGCTCCTGGTTTATTCTTGTTCCCCTTTTCACTGAAGTTCTTAGTGACCATTTTATTTCTACTACAATATATAAAACATCATATTTTCAATAAAGTCTGTTATTCATTGCTTTCATATGCTAATTATAATTGATCATAATAAAGCTGATTCTAGCCATGGCTATCCCAGTGTGACCTCTTGAGATTATGCCCTGATTATCTTGATGCAACTGAGTAATTACATTTGCCACTCATTTCCTGACTGTATCTAAAAATGAGTTCTTTTTATACAGTTCTGATCTTATCCATTGTATGTAGAATTTACCAGTTTATTCTTCAGAGAGCGACTTACTTACAATTCTGGAAGAATTCTAGGGAAGCCTTACTTACAAAGAGCTTTTCCCACTATTATTTCAATAATACGGGGTTGGAGTGAAGGGCAAAAAGAACCCCTTACTAATGCTTTTGATTGTCAGAATAGAGGGTGTGCTTGAACTGAAGTGCAAGGGAGAATTGGTTACATTAGTTACTGCTGGGACTTTAACCTCCACCTTACATTTTATGAATGTGATTCAGATCCTATTTTCTTTAATTTTCCATAAAGCACCACTAAATCAAGATTGTAGGTAACAGAGTTTGTGTAAGATTTGTGTTTAAGGAGTGATACTAAAATGAAGAGGCAAGCCGGGTGGTGGGAGGAGCCGTTACAGGAAGGAGCCGGAGCTGCCGATTAAGCTGATCAAGATGACAACCTCCCAAAAGCACCGAGACTTTGTGGCAGAGCCCATGGGGGAAAAGCCAGTGGGGATCCTGGCCGGGATTGGTGAAGTCTTGGGCAAGAAGCTGGAGGAAAGGGGCTTTGACAAGGCCTATGTGGTCCTTGGCCAGTTTCTGGTGCTAAAGGAAGATGAAGATCTCTTCCCAGAATGACTGAAGGACACATGTGGTGCCAATGCCAAGCAGTCCCCAGGACTGCATCGGGTGCCTTCGAGAGTGGTGCGACGCCTTCTTGTGAGGCTCTCTTGGGGAGCCCCCAGTCCCTAGCCCCAGCATTGAGTCTCCAGAGTTTGCAGCCGCATGGGGATTCCTCCCCTGTCCTCTACAAAGGAAGAGATTGCTGTTGTACTCACTTCTGATGTACTTCAAGGTCTTTTGGGAGTTCTCTCCCCTCACCATTTCAACTTTTTTGAAATTCTCACTCTTGCATGCATCTCCCTTCTTGCCCTGCCAGTTTCGTGTCAACAATTATCAGCTTTTCTGAGTGGATTCCTGGCCCTTCCTTCACCCCCTACCCCCACTGGTCTGTTTTATGCTATTTGGCTCCTTTTTTGGCAGAATAGTTACTGTCCTTGTGAAGTTTTTTAAATCAATAAAGCCAGTGGCCTTCAAAAAAAAAAAATGAAGAGGCACCTAGCTGACTTCAAAGGAATGGACAGAATTGTGAAAAATAAGATTGTTGCTTTAAGCCACTAAGTTTTGGGGTGGTTTATTATTCAGCAATGTATACCTGCAACACCTTTGAATTATATTAGTTTTGAATCAGATTCTGCAAAATAATGAAACATATTCAATCACATTGCTGTCTCTAAAAAGATTGACAGTTATAAAGTGAGAATAGATTAATTTTGTCATTAGTAAATAAAATGCAAAATTAAAGTGTTTATTTTTTATACAATTTCTTATTCTTGCGTAGTAAGCATATTATATTACATCATAGGTGTGTGGTTCTTAAATAAATATTTGATACTAAGTGTGCATATACAATTTTTCCAATTATTTATTTATTTATTTAGAGCGTATGAGCAGGGGGAGGGGCAGAGGGAAAGGGAGAGAGAATCTCCAGCAGACTCCATGATGAGTGCACAGAGCCCAATGTGGGGCTTGATCTCATGACCCTGAGATCATGACCTGAGCTGAAATCAAGAGTCAGATGCTTAACCAGCTGAGCACTCCTTTTTTTTTCAAATACTAAGTATGACCAAACAAAAATTGTTTTCAGACCACTGTTCTAGAAAGTGGATTTTAAAATGTTGATTAAAGTTTAGGTAATTGTTCTCTTTGAGGTAAAAGAAAAATACAGACTACAGACAAAAACTATTTGAAGAAAGTATGTTTATGTTGGTTTATTAAGCAGATATATTTAGGACTATGAGTGAAATATACTTAGAATTTTAGGCCCTATATTCATCTTTATGGTTGCTATTAAAAACAAACGTATAAACAAATAAATCTACCAACACTTGAAGCCCTTTTAGTCAACCTGCCACTTAGTAAATGGAATAGGAGGCAGTAACAGTGGAATCTTTAGTACCAGGGAAAATACTTCTGCCCATTGGAGCGAAGATGATCAGCCTGGATGAGTTCTCTGAAGGTGGGAATCTGCTGACACATGACAACCCTTCAGGGTTTGTTAATTTTGTCTTGATGATAATACTGAAACATAAATTAAGTTTTGTCTTTGCCAATATAGAATGGTACCTACTTTGCCAAAGATGAATTCAGTGACTCAAGGATGGAAGAAATAATGTAGTAATCCAACTGTATTAAGCCAAATGTTCAGTATAAGTATCACATTCTCTCTACAAAATGAAATGCTCTACATCAGTTAAAATTGTTGCAAACAAAACTATATAATAAAGAACCAGTATTTAGTACTGTGGTACATATTGTTGGTCTATTTATACCTTCTTCCTTAGAAACAAAACTTTGATGTTATTTAGAGAGTCACTTTCTTTCATGCAGCCCAGGTACCTTGTGACCTTTCAGCTCTGTGAATGGATACTGGTTAGTCCAAGGCAATCAAAACAGTCATCCTAGTGGTTGGTTTAGGAATAGGCACAAATTGCACATTTGCCAGTGAATTAATCACCTCTCCTTGTTCTCTGATGAATCAGGAAGCTAATCTCCCTCTCCCAAAGAATAGGAACAGAGAAGTGTGTAGTCCTGCCTGCTACTGATGGTCATTGTATCACTATGAGGGGAACTAGCTTTAGGATGACAGGAACACCATGGATGGAAGAGTAGAGCAATGGAAAGAATCTGGTTTCTTACGGGTATTGTTGAGCCACTGAATCAACTATTCCTGAAGCATATTCTACTCTGACTTTTTAATAATTAAAGGTAATAAATTTTCTAATTATCTAAGTCTGATTAAATCTTGACTGATATAAAACAGTATATTATTTTTAGTGACCAAACTTTATTGAGAATGCAATAGTCTAAAGGAAGAAGCTAACATTTTTAGAGCACGGTTCAGTGATTTTTGTTTGTTTTGGATTCCACTTATGAGTGGAATCATATAGTATTTGCCTTTCTCAGTCTGATATGTTTCACTTAGCATAGTACCTTCTAGGTTCATCCATGTTGCCTCAAATGGCATGATCTCATTTTTTATGGCTGTATAATTTTCCTCTCTGTGTGTGTGTGTGTGTGTGTGTGTGTGTGTGTGTGTGTGTGTGTGTGTACACACCACATTTTCCTTGTCCATTTGCCTATTGATGGACACTTGGACTGCTTCCATAATTTGGCTATTGTAAATAATGCTGCAATAAACATAGGGGTACAGATATCCCTTCAAATTAGTATTTTGTTTTCTTTGGCTAAATACCCAGTAGTGGAATTACTGGATCATATGGTATATCTATTTTTAATTTTTTGAACTGCCCTAATTTTTTCCACAGTGTCTGTAGCAATTTACATTTCCACCAATAGTGTACAAGGGTTCCCTTTTCTCCACATCCTCGCAAACATGTTATTTCTTGTCTCTTTGATTCTAGCCATTCCGATAGGTGTAAGGTGGTATCTCATTGTGGTTTTGGTTTGCATTTCACTGATAATTAGAAGTGTTGAACATCTTTTGATGTGTCTGTTGGCCAAGGGAAATTAGTTTTCAATAAAAATATATAAAAATATATAATTTTTGTTCCTGCACTTGTGAAAAAAATTCTTTAAATGGATCTGAAGTTTTCATCAGAATTTCAAATGGGTTAGTGACCTAGAAGAGTTTCATTATTTATCTGGGTTGATTTCAGTTTCCCAACATGTTAATTTCACTACTATAGTCCTCTTATAAGGGCTAAAGAAAAACAAAATCATTTAAGGTTACCCAAATAAACCGGTCCACTTCTAGTAATGGAGAACTATTTTGTTGTAACCAACCCTTGTAACAACAACAACAACAAAAACTAGCCAGAGATAGTTGGCCTCAAAGCATTGGGGAGCTATCATGGCACTGAAGACTTGAGGCACATAACCTGTCTGGATCCATGAACAATGATCTGCCATTCTTCCCTAAATTTCTTGGAATTAGGTAATCCCCAGCATCTTGATATAATCCCAAAGGATCATCCCAAGAATGACTTATAGGAAATTTCTTATCTGCCAGTGGTAATAAGAAACAATAATAATCTCATAAATTGAAAATAATGAGATACTATATATCTTGTACCTGTGAGTCTGTATACCAAAAATATCTTCTACACATTTGTTTGGAAAAATATCTAAGTATCTCTTAGAAGGTAGTGCTTGCCACCAACTATTGATTTAATTGTCTTTAAGTTCTTAAACAAGAGAATCAAACTGGGTCTACTTAGTTAAATCATGGACAATAATTTTCAAAAGGGCAACCCAGTGCTACTTTCTTGAAAAGGGATTTGGTTCAAATTGCTGATTCACTTCTGATGTCCCCTTTAAAAGAGTTCAAGCCGAAAGTATTTTGACTCTAATAGTATGTGATTTTATTTTTAATCTGTGTAAGTTATTATCTTTTCCATTGCTAGTTTTTGCTTTACTCCCTTATTAGACTGAAATATGCTGCATTTATCTGTACATCTGACCTGAACCTACCACAAGTCTGCTTTTGATCCAATCTCCCATTCTCCCTATCAATTTTTGTCTTATATTTTGATGTACTACTCCTTTTTGCTTTTGCTCCTACCATCTCCGCTCTATTCAAAGGCTTGCTACTGTAATCTAGAAATGTATACAGGACAAAGGAATAGAGCACAGGGTTGCCAATGGTCAAGAGCAAAAAGTGACTTGGAGAGCATACATTGGAGATGGGAATGGAAGCAAATAGGTCTTTAAATTGATTTTCCTATAAATATATATAGGGTTTACAAGAACTGTTTTCTTTGGACCATCAAGTGAATTAGTCCTTGGGTTTATGTTTCTTTATCTC